CTCTCTCTCCCTCTCGATCTTTTGAGACTATGGTCATATGCCATATCCGCGACTGATGTTTGGTTTGCCCCCCATCGTTTGCGCGAACGTGGAGGCTACAATGCGCACTGTCATAAAGTTGAGCATACTGGGCACACGCCTGCCCTCTACCGTCCCCGCCCAGTCACTTAGCACGTAGCACGTCCGCCTGCGCTCAAGCAAGCAGCCAAAAGCGTAATGTGGAGGTGTGGAGGTGGATGACTCGTTGGCCCCTATGGCTTTTTATATGGGTATGTCATTCGTTCGTTAACAAAACAATCGTCTGTCGTCGTCGCGTGCAGTACCGACACTCCTGACAACACACCTGTCCACTACTGTCCACCTGCAAGGTGTCACCGCAGAGCCATCACAGGGAGGCCAAGCCTTTGCCAGGATTTTATGCCTCCCTTGTGGTTCATGGCGGGGCGGGCCTCACTGTTACTCTGTCCCCATCACTAACTTTTAATTTCTTTCTCTCCCACCCAGGCCCGTTCGGACGCTACCAGATGTTCCAGTTCGTGCTGCTGGCCCTCGCCTCCGTCAACGCCGGCGTGCACATGCTGTCCCTCGTGACGGTGGCGGCCGTGCCCGAGCACAGGTGAGACGCGCCGACCGCCCCCATCCTCGTGTATCGACGGCCAGATAGCCTCGTGAGGCAGGCGAGCGACGATGGCAAATTTGCTCAGGCTGGCTGGGCCTGATACGAGCGCAGCTGTCGTGTTGTGGCGCCAGTGTCCCTATCGGCGCTGTCGTTGGGCACTCCTCTTGCCCTGAACCTTTTACGCCGGCGATCAAGAAGGCGCCGCACCCGAGGCAGTACATCGCCTTGTCCACGTCCAGCCCTTGTGCGAGCGGCTCCCGGATTCTGCGACATCTGGCCCCGATCGAGTCCTAGTCTCTCAAATATTAGTGTTATTCGTCTACAAAAGGGAAAAGAGAACACTGAAATTTTAGTGGGTGCATCCGAGATTAGAAAAACCGGGAGCTCCCCGATCACCCTCCAGAGGCTCTTTCGGCAGCACTAGTCAGCGGAAGAGAGATAAGAGCACTGACAAGTTTCAACGTGTGAGAGAGCGCGAATGACAACAAAGCGCGGCTCGCTCGATAAAGTCGGAATCCTAAACTAATGGAAAAGTTTTGTTCCTGCGGTGAGCGGAACTACCCCCTGTCGACAGTAGCTAGGCAGAAGCAGAGAGAGACTGGACTGATTGCAGAAAAAAAAAAAATAATGCTCCGTAGTACAAGGAAATTTTCCATAAGAAATGTCGCAAAGTTCTCATTTAAAATTATTGTAAAATTACAAAACTATTAAAACACCATGTATTGCCGAGCAAGGGTGGACTGTCATAATTTTACGATCATGTAAGATTTTAAATTTACAACACCGTACATCCCTCGCTAGAAAAAAATGTAAATTTTCAAAGATGTTTTGTAGCCTGATGTGGAAGCCGTAGGATGGAGGAAGAAAGGGATCGTCCAGAGAGTACGTCCGTCGTTTCTCTCAAAATCATCCTGCAAATTACAGAAGCCCGGCGCCTGCGAGACTCGTGGTAGGCCACCCCGCAATACACGCATGCACGGCATGCAAGGTTGTGCCTACCCATCAGGCGCCATGAGAGCTTGCATTGCCTTGTTTTGGAGGGCTCGTAACGGCGAATGACGGACGTACTTTCTGGATGATCCCAAAGGGCGTCCCTGTGGGTTTGAAATGCTCTCCGTGCTTGTGCGAGTCATCACTCACACCACCTGTTATCTATCCCACCCTCAGATGCTTCGTGCCGGAGGTGGACGAGCTGGTCAACGGCTCGGTGCGCGCGGCTGCCTGGAACCACAGCGACGTGGTGAGCCGGCGGCCGGTGCGGCCCGACGGCTCCCTGGACGCGTGCCACCTCCTGGACGCCGCCAACGGTTCGGCGTGGATGCCGTGCGAGCGCTGGGTGTTCGACGACACGCACTACCTGTCCAGCAGGGCCATCGAGGTGGGTACCACACCACGCGGCGGGCCCCTCAGCAGCAGCGGCTGTTGCCAGGACACCTCGCCGAGCACCTCGCCTCGCTGCTGCGTCGCTCTCGCAAACAATAATTGTACTCTAGAACCAGATTGACGTGTGTGTAGACTGCAGCCACCTCATTAGCTGCAAAGACTTAAAATATCACCCGGACGTCACGTGCGCTGTGAAAATATTCATTAGCACAACCCCGTGTTTACTCTGTACCAATGTGCTAAGTAAATGTTCTTGAAGAATCGCAACGCATTTCTCGCTTGAGAACAGGCTGGTTTCTTTCGCGGGGTGTGCCTTTTAAACCATCATAAATACTTCTGACATGGCTCTGATGTTGTCGACTTATCTGTTCCAGTGGGAGATGGTGTGCGACCGGCGCTGGATGGAGGCGCTGGCCAAGAGCGTGTACATGTCGGGCCTGCTCGTGGGCGCCGTGCTGCTCGGCAACCAGGCGGACCGGTTCGGCCGCAAGCCCGTGTTCATGGCGGCGGCCGTGCTGCAGCTCGTCGTCGGGACGGTGGTGGCCTTTGTGCCGGACTTCTGGAGCTTCCTCGCCCTCCGCTTCCTGTACGGCGTGGGCACCGTGGGGACGCTGTCGTCGTCCTTCGTGCTCAGTGAGTGGGGACGAACCAGCAGTTTGGAAACTGCTTGATATGAATACAAGTAACAAACATTGATAACATTTCAACTTCAACACATTGTGATATTCTACGTGTTGTTTCCTCTAGTCATGGAAATGGTGGGACCATCGTACCGTACGGGTTGCGGCATGGCCTTCCAGAGCTCCTTCAGCGTGGGCATCGTGCTGGTCGCGCTGTGGGGCTACCTGATTCCCGACCGACAGCTTCTGCAGGCCCTGTACGGGCTGCATAGCTTGCTGCTGCTGCCACAGTGGTGGTACGTAACACATTCCCCAAACGACAACACATCGTGGCCCCATGTACCATTTGTCCTGAGTATGAAGTTTGACGCCGTTCTGCGTGCTCGCAGGCTCGTGGACGAGTCGGCCCGGTGGCTGTGGTCGCAGGGGCGCTCCAGGGACGCCGTCCGCGTCGTCACGAGGGCCTCGCGGATGAACTACGGCGACAAGTACAAGTCCGACATCGCCAACTTCCTGCGCAAGGACTCGGCGACGGCCGACGCCACGGCCGACGTGGTCGAGGACGAGGCGCCGGCGCCGCAGATGTCCATCAAGGACCTCTTCAAGACCCCCAACATGTGCAGGCGCATGTTCAACGTCAGCCTCAACTGGTGCGTCGGCAAGTCGGGCACGGCGTAGGTGTAAACTCCTTAGCGGCCCTTGTTGTGCCATGTCATGACGTTTCTTTCGGTCGACGTGCGCAGGTTCGCCAACAGTCTGGTGTACTACGGGCTGTCGCTCAACACGGGCGGGCTGGCCGGCAACCCCTTCCTCATCCTGGCCATCGCCGGCGTGGTGGACGTGCCCAGCTACATCCTCACCGGCATCCTCATGAACCTGTGGGGCCGGCGCTCCCTCATCAGCACGCTCATGATCCTGGGCGGGCTGGCCTGCATCACCGCCGCCTACCTCTCCTCGGGCGGTAAGCACAAGGACCCGCATCCCGAAGCCTAGCCTGGCAAACTACCCTCATCGCCAACTAATCCCTGTTTAACGCGTGCTCCAGACGACCCCGTCGCCGGCTCGGCCGCCACCGCCATCGTCATGATCGGCAAGTTCTTCATCGCCGGCTCGTTCGCCATCATCTACAACTACTCGACGGAGCTGTTCCCCACCGCCGTGCGCAACACGGCCCTGGGCGCGTCCAGCATGTGCGCGCGCATCAGCGGCGCCCTGTGCCCCTTCATCTCCCTGCTGGTGAGGCTCGTCCCCGTGCTTCGTACAGTACCGGGTGTATCTTTGAATGTGTTCCGGTTGCCTACTCACTTGGCCTGTCAGGCACCACGGCCCCTGCGACCTCATCGAGCATGTATTTATGCAGTTCCGCAACACTAAAGCGCAAGCACAGATACACCCGGTACATTGTACATCTGGTAATCGGTTTTGTTCAAGAACATTTTGCCTTGTTCTCAGCAAGGATTGCGTACATCTGAACAAGTAAATTGTACTTGGCCAAAACCAAAACATGTGTAACGTACAAGTTTTTTGTTTATGAATGTAGTGTCCAGAAGACATTTGTCTTTTGGGCCCCGATTGGATCGCCACCAAACGACCACCGATGTTGAACAGAAAGAACAAATTGTAATTATTCCGCCGCTTGCGCAGGACTCCCTGAACAAGGCGCTGCCGTCCACCATCTTCGGCTGCGTGGCCATCACGTCGGGGCTGCTGTCGCTGTTCCTGCCCGAGACGCTGGGCCGGCCGCTGCCGCAGACCATGGAGGAGGGCGAGCACTTCGGCGACGGCGACACGGCCTTCTCGGGCTGCCTGGGCCGCCGCCGCCCCGCCTCCAGGGCCGCGTCCGAGCGGGGCCGGCGCGGCGACTCCCCGACGCACCAGTCCCTGCGGCAGGACAGCCACGAAATGTCCTGAGGATGCCGTGTGTCCCAATAAGACGCCGCGAGGCGCTGGATCCTCCACAAACCGTGTCGGTGTTTCGGATGGAATGTTTAAGCATTATTCAGTGCGCGTGTGCGGCCATTGTCGATTGTTAAGGACTCGATGTGCCCCGTGTGCAATATGACCCACGACGTGATTGTCTTTCGAATCCTCCGTGGAGGAGACGCTTAAGCCGCCGGTTTGTTGAACCATCCCGCGTAACGGTTGGAGACAGAAGCTCCTGGTGCGTAGGCAACCCATTTGTCACCCGGCGCTAGAGAGGCAATACTCCCGCCCGCCAAGGGGGAAGTCCTCCGCGAGTGGTTCTTCACTCAAAGTTCCCAGTCACTGCCATTTGAGATGCCGCCTCTAGGTTATATGCTGCTTTTGCAATACTCGTTGTGAACAATGAAACCCAATGAACTGAGAGGCCACAAACCGCGTGGAGCCGTTGTACCTGTGCTTAGCTTAATGTTCGTGGAGTAGACGTGACGCAATACCGGATGAGTGTAAAAGACTACTTCTTCATGAGACCAATTAACTGACAGCAAACGTTTTTTCGTACTTATTATTTATCCGGAAATACTCTGATATGGATCTGTTGTAATGATGAAAGTGATGTGTCTTTTTGGTTTGTCGCCTTGCCTTATAGCTCATGTTTGAATGATCTCTCGACCCTATATTGCCATGTGTTGTTCATTTGTAGTTAAGAAATAGTACGTGTTGTCAAGGTTGTGATTAAGAAGGTAATATTTTTTCAGTCCCTCAATGGGCTTGCGTTTCTTACCAATAACAATTGAAATATGCACCTAGTGCGAGATGGGATATCGAAAGGATGTCGAAAAAAGATGCTGCAAAGGCAGGATCACCGTCGTAACAATATCGCTTCGACATCGTTTTGACAGTCATTTCTCACTGGGCAAAGGAGTGTACCTGTTTTGAATTTTATACTTGTACTGGAAATGTTAATGTTTACATCTAGGGACCCAAAAGTTAAATTTTATATATGAATTTTGAAGAGCTGACTGAGGTATACAACCTTCTTTGATGTTCATTGTTTGACTAATATGACGGATTGTATCTGTCATGTTATTTATTTTTTAAAACGTAGAAAACATTAAAAGAAAGAGTTCAAAATTACAAGAGTGTTTTGTGATGAGCCACACACTTACTTGAAACTTGAAGGGAGTTCACCTTCCGTTCCACCTGACAAGGGCAGAGCTGCTTCCCCCTTCCTCGAAGGTACCCCTCCGCTGCGACCATACCACAAAAATTGTTCAGAAACGGGGGCAATGTTTTGAACGGCAATATTGTGTGACTTGCCAAAACCGACGCTAGAAGACGTTACTCCGAGTCTGAATGTAACCCAGGAAAACTTACAGCCTGATCTCTAAATTCGGCGTCGAGGCGCAATACATTTAAACCAAGCCCAGCCCCGACAGCCGATCTGCTGTCTAGAGAGCCCCATATTGCCCCATCCCCGGCATATGGAAACGGAGTGGTCTCAGATCGATATCCCTGAGGATAGATATAAACACTTAGCAGCCGCCGCAACCCTCGCAGTTTTATCCGTAGTTGACGTCGTGCAGCTCGCGGAGGTAGCGCGGCGGCACGGCGACGGGCGCGAGGAAGGAGGCTCGGGGCGGCGGGCGCTTGTCGCACGCACGCACATGGCTCGCCATCACCAGCGGGTCCGCGATGTCCCGGTGCACGGCGCGCACCAGCTCCCGGCTGTACCGCATGTCGGTGTAGCGGTCCACGATGCGCAGCGTCCCCAGCCCCGGCAGTGGCAGCTCCAGGTCCTTCTGCGCCATGCACAGCCGGCACAGCGCCTGGGCCACACGAAGTGTCTGTGAGGTGTCTGGTACTTCCCTAAGGTCCCCAACCCAGTGGTGACGCCTTGTTGAAGCGCTTAAAACATGGCGGGAGGACTGATAGGCCAGCGGTTCGAAATGTATGTTTATGAAGAACTTTTACGGTGTTTCCCAAACCCCCCAAAACGAACGTTTCACGAGAGCGACGCTAGCGCCTGCGACGAGATAGGTAGGCCAACCCGGACAACAGTTGTGTTTCGCCGGTAGCCCGCCCACAGCGCTCAACTGGCTAGGCGCAAGAAAACGTTGGAAGCCGAACGTTTCGCTCGGGTCACATCGGGAGCCGTTTATTGTGAAGGCTCCTCTATGTAGTTCTAGGACAATGGCTTTACCTGGACAACTTCATTGATGATATCTTCCACAGCATGCCTTGATAAATTGGTAAGAGCAGCTATTGTTGACAGATTTGTTGACACAACACTGATCTGTGAAGAGGAAAATAGGGAAAATGAAGGTTGATGAAGATACATTAACCATACGTCGATCAGAATAAATATTAGATAGCTCACCTTGTCAGATGAAAATAAGCGCACACATTTTATATGGTAAGAGTCACACAGCCGCTTGTCTAAGTAAAAGACAGGTCGATGAGACCAGACGGCATAAATGGATGAAACTGGCATTGAGTACTCTTGAATTGTAAATCTTCCTAAGCCTTTTATGTCCACAGCCTGAGAGAGAATGAAACGATTGAATGGTTAGGCGTACTAAATTAAATCTGATAACTCAGAAACTACGGAAACTGTTTTACCCTCTTCTTTAAAAGAGAGCTTCTGATAAACTGCGCAACTTGCTTCCAGACTTCTTCTACATCTGCAATTGAAAACACATTTACATGGGAAACGTTGCTTTGAAAACTGTTCGTATGAATCAAAATATTAGTTTTACCTGCAGGACTATAATTTTTCCCTATGCCAGTTTGAAAGTTATTCTTTGCAGTTTCAAGAACATTTGTATACTGCACCATTCTTCTGCTGTTCTCAGTCGTAAGAATAGAAAGCCAGAATGCTTGGTTGACAAGTCACCTGAAGAGAACAAAACGAAAGTTGCCTTTTCGAAACGTAATCGCCGGAATTGTACCGGATCGTGCTAGGGCGCCTTTGTCGCCATAGAGACGGATTTTCGGACTGACCAACGCGTTAAGGTTAACCATAGGATTCAAACATTTCTACAATAATTAAGACATGAAAATAATTTGTTAAAGTTTCCAAAACTACATTTCTATGTTTGTTTTTAAGAGTAAAATTTTGGGATTGAAGCATGGTTGTCCGAAATAAACTTCTGATTGTCGAAGTAACGTTGGTGGAAATTGCCCGACAGTAGCGCGATCTAGCGCCGGGCACTCCCACCAGGTTTGTTTGGGGCGGTGCTGACGAGTCCTGGGCGTTGACGGATTTAAAGTAAGTTAAGACTTAAAATTTAAATTAAAATACTGCATTGCACCTTTTATACTATTACCTTCGACCCAGTTATGTTATCGAATACCCACATTGTAATTATACCTCAGTTTTGAGACTCATAAAGCGGGGCAGCAAGGATTTGTGATTTTTAAGTTGAAGGTTATGTTAGTCAGTTTATGTTTACATATAGAAAGGCGTTGTGTGCTCCTTATTTTAAGTAAATATTTGACACAAAAATTCTATAGTTTGATAGGGAAAAAAATCTAGTTATTTGGAATGGATTAATCATCAACTCTCGTTCACTGTTTCACATTCACAAAGTGGATGTTTTGGAAGGTACTGGAGTGATAGATTTCATTATATTTATTTGTTTACAGAGTTCACAAAAATGAGGATTGAAACCTTTTGGACGCCCTTTATATGGGCACACAATGTCCGAGTTGGTTGCAAGTGGGTTGCAGGCTACACAGTGGTGAGTACTTTCGACTAATTGAATGCACTGTGAGCACTTACTTACGTCTTAAATGAAATGCTTCTTATTTTTTCTAGGCAACTTGTGTAGTATTGATTACTCTTATATGCTACATGTTAAATGGTGGTGACTCTTCTCAACTATATTCACCTCTATTTGAATCTGATGTGCGCCACTGTAAGTTTATAAAAATAAACTTTAGAAAATAGTATTTAAGAACAAAATTGTTTAACATGGTGTCAGAAAAGTAAAGCATCTCCTTTCTTTTTCAGCTATGAAAGGTGTTGGAGGATTCTTCATAACATATTTTCTTCTGCTCATTGTGTGTGCTATTCTGATGTTGGTGAGCTTGCATCGTGGCACTCGAGGATACATGTTGCCCTGGTTGATAGGTTTCGGAATCTGCATAGCATTCCAGCTTGTGTTTGGCCTGTGGTTGATAGGTGGATACTACATTTATGTAAGTATTCTCCAATATTGTAATGTTGTCTATTTCTGAGTAAGATTACAACTATCATGTTTTATTCCTTCTTCAGCTTGATGCTGTTTTGTCAGCATTTATTTTATGGCTTTGGATGGCCTATAATGTAAGTGTTTTCTCCTAAACATGTCAACATTATTGCAAATATATTAACAACTTTAAAACATTTAAAGAAAAAAATATTTCCAATTTACAGATGTACTGCTGGCTTTGTGTTTGGTCCCAGTACAAGATATTCCAAGAATTACAATCACCAAACATCATTCTGCTCTATCCTTGATTTACCTGACATTCGTCAAATATGAAAGGCAGCCTTCAACTATCCATTATTTGGATATAGATCTGACTCATTTGCTGATCTCTTATCTATGCGATTAGATTCAAAATTTTACAAACTGACTGAATCATATTTTGTTTCTTAGTGCCTTTCTTTTGGACTTCCATTAATTCTCTAGTATTTTAGTGAATCATTCCTCAACCACACAATGCATGTTGTTGTATTATGCACTAGTTTAGTATTTAAGTAATGCTTTGTGTATGTACTCAAATGGCTCACAATTATTACTGCCATTGATTCCGTCCGACTAATGTGGCATCGACCCTAGTTACCTGTTTTTGTAATGAAAACTTTATGATTTGCCATTTTTATTGTTGTGACCTGTTTGGGTGTGTAAACTGTAGGCAAATCCTGTTAATGAGGACAGATTTAACAAATAGCTTTGTTGGAATATAAACTAAAATTTAATTATATTTTTTTTTGTTTGGACTCATCTGTCTGTATGTACAGTATTACAGTATTTGTAATCAAGATGGAAGTAATGAAATATTACAGATGAAATTTATAAGGTTTACAATTTCATGAAATGTTTGTCTAAATCAACTTAAAGTATTGAAAGATATAACTTGTTATTTGTTAAAACAAGAATGTTATCAACATTATAGTATTTTATAAGGCATATGTGCATCTTTCTTAAATTTTATACATTTATATATTTTGGATCACTTTTTCCCTCATTATAAACCAGTTTCAAACTTTCTTAAATTTTTCATACACTTCATTAATTCCGAGGTATCCTACCATGCCACATTTCGCACCAGCAATTTTATTACCAAAGTCAATCGCTTCTAAAAGAGACTTTTTTTTACTCAGGTAATATACAGTAGCAGCAATGAATGTGTCTCCAGCTCCAGTTGAGTCAAGAACAGCTGTTGGTTTGTAGGCCGGTGATTTCAAAATAACTCCATCACCTGATCTTGCCACAGCCCCTTGCTCTCCCCATGGGATGACAATATTTGCTCTGTAGGGAGGAAAATAAGGTTTATATTACTTTTAAGTTAAAATAGAAGTACGTAAAAAGTTGTTTCTTTTTAAATTGTAAAGGCTATACCCAGGTTGTACAATCTGTGCCAATCCTTGGAGAGCTGAAATAGGACACGTATATCCAAGGTACTTCGTAAACTCTTTGGATAAAAACACAACATTGCCTTTGGAAAGAAGTCCTTTAGTTTCTTCATAGCATCTTTCCAACTCGACTGAGTATAATACTTTTTTATCGTAGTTTAATGTATTCCAAGCATCAAGCACATCAATCATTTTTAATACCTCTGGAACAGCTCTTCCCTGAAATGAATAGAAGTCAAATTTAGTGCTTATCTTATACAATATCTTCAAAATCTTTGGAAATTACCTCAAAGTGTATCCACTTATATTTTGCAAGATTCAATTTGCTGAAGTCTTCCACTGTGGGATTAGGATAATCTTTGGGACGATAATGTAAGATAGTTCTAGTCCCAGAGGAAAGGCTCAGAATTATGCTAGTGAATGGTGAATTGATATTCGGATAGATTGGACAATTTTCAAAGATTATACCATTTGCCTTTAGGTCATTTTGAATAAACCTGTTCAAATTAAAGTAAGAAATAGTGCAATATATATTTTTGCAAGCTAACATTTAAAAGTACTCTGCATTACACTGTGAAAAAGAATTGTACTCACTCCCCATACTCGTCACTAGTCATTACTGCTAAGAGTTCGGGCTTTGCTCCAAGTTGTGATAGCACAGTTGATGAGTTTGAGGCGTTACCTCCTCGACGCTTGTGGTAATCCAAAGCCCTATTCGATTTTGATCAGTAAAGGATAATGTGTCGATGTTTAAGAAATTTAAAAATCTCACTGTCATGAATACCTGCTCATAGAGTCCTCTTCAGGGTAACGAGGGGCTGACAAGACAAGATCAAGGCAGCTGTACCCTACCATAAGAATTAAATCTTCATTTTCTGTGGTGTCTGTCGCCATATTTAGGTATGAAAAAATTTCCTCTTGGGATGCAGAGATGTACTTGTCTTGTCACTGGTTCTGTCAAATGAATGGTCTGCAGCTGTTTTCAAACTTGAAACTCCCCTGTTTGGCTGATGAGGTTTCTTATCAGGAACGTGATAACCGAACACCAGAGGTCACAAATGCCAACAGGCAGAACAGCTTCCAAACAAATGTTTACTTTCATGTGTAGAAAGGAGAACAGAAAGGTTATGTCAGAACGGGGTGAGATTGTTTTTGTTGATTGCTCCTTGATTAGGCTTTGGCAGTTCGATGGCAAACTTCATGTGAGACGATGGCATTGACCTATTATCTTATCTTTTAACAATGTGAGATAACTCTTCGTCATATCATAGACATGCCCAGCCTAGGTAGCAGTACCTAGTCGCGGTCTAACCGAAGTACGGTAAGAATGAGAGCAGTGGAGTGGGTATAGAGTGGGGTGAGGGGAGGGGAGGAGGGGTACTTCCCCCACCACCAGCGTGACCTAGCGGCGGGAAACTCTTGTTAAGTCCGGTTGTCTTCTCCATCTCCACACGATCGGCTGAAAAACACCGCAAGTTTGTCGTGCACATACTACGTGCTCTTTGAGGGGAAGGGGGGGGGTAAAAATATGATGCCCCCCACCATTGGAGTTCATAGAGCCCCCCGGGGTAAAAATATTATGGGGTCATATGGACTGGCAAGCGAAACCAAGTCTGCGCCCGGCACCCCCTCCCCTCTTCCCCTCGCGGCGCCCTGTCGTGTGCCTGCGGTCTACGGCGCCCCATATCTCGCGGGTTCCATCTGAGCTAACTCACGTCTCCTGTCTCGGGCGTGGGCAGGGGCGGCTGGACGGGCTGGACTGGCGCTAAAACGTCACGTGCGTTCGCGTCGAGCCCGACCACCTTCCTTCACCTCGGCAGCGAGGCCCGGCGCCTGGCTGGTCTGGCCTCGTTTTCCCTCTGGATAGACGAAACATTTTTCATGTTTCGTCGTTGCCTTGGTCGGGAGTCGGGAGGATGGGGGGAAGAATATCTGATAGATTTCAGACGTAAATCATCGACGCGAAAATGCGATTCATGGCGATGGCGGCCTGAAAAAACAACAACATTCAAAATCAAAGCTGACCACAAAACGGGTCCGTGACTGCGAGGGCTGCGGTGTTTTACTTTGTCAATCCTACAGTCGACACTGTGCCACCTGACGAAGGTATTCAGACTTTTGGTTTCATGCTACAAACAAACCTACCTTTGTGCCGGTGGCATCCGAGCAGGCACCCGTCGCAATGCAACGACTTTGCCTCTTACCTTTGACCATCATGGCTCCTGACGGGCCGATAGCGAGCAGCCAAACTCGCAGCATTGGGGTGCGTTCCCTACAGGGGATGGTCATCGATACCGAGGCGTCAAAAATGGCAGGTGGGAACGTTGACGTTGAGCTACATAAACGTTCCGCTTGCCCGAGCCCCTGCATTGCACTGGAGCCTGGAGCGCTCAGGGCGGGCCGCCGGCTCCACGTAGATGCTCTGCGGGTTGGCCTACCCAGCGCGTTGCAGGCGCTCTCAGAAGCGTCCTCGCCAGCCTCCAGGTGTCACCTCTTTGTGGGGCGAGGACGAAATCAGAAATGCTTAGCAGCCGTTCGTAGTCCACGTCGTTTCCTCGCTCCTGCCCAGTAAATGTTCATTTCAGTGGAGGCACCTTGATATCTTTGAGAAACGATGCTGGGACTAGTTCACTGCCCGCGGATGGCTGCCTGGTCAGCGCTGTGACACACCTGTGTGCGTGTGTGTGTGTGTGTGAGTCCGATCCCGAGTGGACAGTACATTTGGGATGCGGGCGGAGGTGCATGGACGGTGGTGGGAGGGGGAGGGAGTGAGTCGAGCGAATCGGACGGAATGAAAAACGAGCCTGCCGGGACTTCCCCGCTGAAACGCTTCTGCTGGACTCGGCTTTACATTACACGGGACACACGATCCTCTGTACCCAGCAACCACTCTCTCGCCATACACTCGCGTCCGGCGTCCACAAAAAAGGGGGAAAAAGCGGACGACGAGGGAGGCGGGTTTGTACGCATTCTCCATCAGACTTTTACATTCGAATCGCGCAAAATAAATAGGAAAAATTTCCGATATGGCCAGAAGGCTTATCGACAGACGCGCGACGGCCATAGCCGGTCTCTCGCTCCTGGTCGGGCGATTTTCTTTTCTCTTTTCCACGGCGCGGGATGATTCAATTCAATCCATCCCCGTCAGTTGTGTTGTTGAGGGCGGGGCGGGGTGCCCCTGTATAGACTGCCGCCGTGGCCGGGACTTCAAGTGAACGCCTCGTGCGCGCGTGTGCGTGCAGCAAGCCACCCCTCTGCGCGTAACAACAACTACTAAGGAAGATTTGGCGAAGAATATTTCACATTTTTTTCCCTCCTCACACACTACTGTGCATTTCCCTTGCCCTTTACCATACTGCACGCCCTTCACCCTTCCTGCAGCCAGCTCAAGTCGCCGCGTGTAGGATAACAAGACGTCGACTCGACCTCCCCCCCACCCCCACC